GCAGAGCCAGGCAGATCTCTGTGAGTTCGAGGCCAGCCTGGACTACCAAGTGAGTCCCAGGAAAGGCGCAAAGCTACGCAGAGAAACCCTGTCTCAAAAAAACCAAAAAGATTTTCACCTAAATGGTCACTCACAGAAACCTTTTATCCAAGGAACTACCTATCCCCAAAGAGTTTTACTTTAAGTCTGATCTCCATAGATTTTTTCTTCACGCATACAGGAAGACCCCAGAGACTTTGCGCGATAAAAACACTCTCCACAAAACACCACCTCTAAGCCGGTTACGCCCCAGCGGGGCCAGAAGCTCCGCCTGTCTCTGGCCTCCCGCTTCCTTTTCCTCCTCACGCTCTGCAGCTCCTCACAATCAGCACTTCTTGGGGAGCAATTCTGAGCAGCTGGAAGTCGAGTGTTTCCAAGAGGTAGCTGAGCAACATACCAAAGGACACTTCATGGCCACCCCCCTGAAGGGTCACAATGTGCCCCCACTGTGGAGTGAGGGGCCTCACTCCTCCGCCCACTTGCTTATTGACATGCTTCATGCCAACATCCATAGGGTCATGAGACAAGGATGGTGACTCAAAATCCTTTAACTGGTAGGATGCTCCTCCATTCTACTTCTGTGTTCACGTATGAAATAGAGAAAGCTCTAAGACACTTCATTTGGATTTTAAAATGGGGCAGAAGCCTATTCTTTGGCAATGCAAAGATTGCAGCTATTTCTAGGTAAGCAGGCCAGCACGGAAAAGGACAGAACTCTCCGTTCTGCTCAGCTTCTAGTTTTCCTTTTCCCCAGCTGGTGGTTGTCAGGTCTCCACCTGGGGATTTACATATTCTGCTTACCCCTTTGAAAGCATCTCTTGAATCCACCCCCACCACCATTGACTCCCGTGGTCACTTGGGTTTCAGACAGAGCTTGCTTTGTAGTGGATGATGTCCTTGAACCTCTGACTGTCTTACTCCTCTCGCCTGCCCTCCTGGTTTCTCAATCATTTTCTATAGTCACTCTTGAGGCTCCAGATAGTGTCACTAGGAGGCAGCAGGGATGGCGGGTCTCCAGGTAGCTCTGGGCCCCCGAAGACATACCTGGAAACTCCATGTAGCAGTTCCAGGATGAGGCTTCCTGACAAGCAGCAGGTCCTGCCTGGAAGGTGTAGCAGAGAGGGGTGTGTAGACATGGGAGCCACCAGTGTAAGAAACCTACTCTGTCTGTGTAGCAGAATTTGTTTTAAAAAGATTTATTTATAGCCGGGCGGTGGTGGCGCACACCTTTAATCCCAGCACTCGGGAGGCAGAGGCAGGCGGATTTCTGTGAGTTCGAGGCCAGCCTGGGCTACCAAGTGAGCTCCAGGAAAGGTGCAAAGCTACACAGAGAAACCCTGTCTCGAAAAAC